TTTTTGTTTGTATTCATTTTTATCTTATTAATTGTAATTTTTAATAAATTTACTATTAAAAAATTATATACTAATTACCCAAGGACATCAGTAAATTATTGCTCATGAAGGAGTAAAAAAAGCATTCTTAATCAAGGGACTAAGAAGATTTATTAATTTCTTTTGTATTTTTGCATTACATACATAAAATTATTCTGATTAATCAGATCATATTTATTATTTTTAAAAAGCAAGTTGTACTTAAGTAACTTAAAGCCACACAGTACAAAAATACCTATGAAGAGTCTTTAATCACTTCAGAGACTTTCTCTCCCAGTAGTGCTTCCCCTACAAAACCTCATGATGACTTTTTGAACTCCATCCTACTCCAGTTTAACAAGGAGATGAAGGATGAAGTCTGTGAGCCTTTTTCTGCAATTGCTTAATAATTTATTTCTGTGCTTAAAGCTCTTGAGCCAGATTCTCTGATTTCATTGTAATTGTGGATGAGTTCAAAAATCAGTTTGTAGAGTGGATGTTATTGAGACAAAGATTATTTATAAGCATCTAAATGAGGAAGACATTGGCAGTTTTTTGGAATGATAATTCTAATGTGCTTGCAAAACAGGATATGAAAATTCATATATAGCTAATTTTGAAGATTCAACTAAATTTTTAGCACTCTAAGAGTTCACTATAGTTGGATCACTTCTGATGTTATCTCCAAATGGATTCTAATGTGGTTGGTTGGTTACTTCAGTGGATCTGAATACACCTTAAAAGATTTTAGCTCAAGAGGGATACAAGTTTCTTTGAGAGTGACTTATTTCTCAAAATAATTTCCTGTTCTTACTTGGCTTTGTGACAATTTTTTTCTTTCTGACACAAATTCTAAATACAGATTTCATGTTGTTCAAGCCCAGTTGGTGCTGAAGTAGCATTTGCTTTTTCTATCGTTATTGCTATATTCTTGCTCTAGTAATAGCTCCAGGAAATGTTGATGTTTAGATGCCATAGATTTTTACTGTCAGTCTGTCAATTGGACTTTGCTGTCATTTATCTCAGGATCTTGGAAACAAAGATCTTGGAAGAGACAGAATTTATTTGATTTGTCAGATCGTACGGATTGGAAAAATGGATCTCAAAGACACTAACACCAAAAAATATACTCAGGGCATAAGACGGCCTTTTGGAGTGGCAGGTAAGGCAAAAAATGGACAGGATCCAAAAAAGCCTTTCATAGTCTTTAATACACTTCCACCTCTGTGTGTGTTTTTAGCCGCTCCTTGCTTACTGAAGCCCCGCCACCCCCCATACTCCCATTGTCCCTGAATACTGAGGTTTCACTCAATGCAAGCTAATGTACCCAATGTACAGATTTACCAAGATCATGGCATTTATAACATTTTTACTGCCAGCAAACATATAAGGATAAGCTTCGGCACTGGATAAATAGGATTCTGATTGTGTAATTGGACCTGGCCTTCTGTCCACTCACCTTCAGAACTAGTGTCCTTTTGTGTGTTGATATATCCATAGAGATTTTATGAAGCTATACTGGTATTTTTTCTGTTTAATGATGTAAGTTAGACATTAGTGAAACAATTCTGAAGAAAACGTTGAACATGTAGCTTAAAAGCGTTCTTTGTATTGTGTGATCACAAGAGAAATCAAGATATGAAAGTGACTGCCAGACCAAAGATCCCTTCCTAAATTTGCTCCAAATGATGTTACTAAGTGAAGTGTTCTTTAAAGTGTGCTTGGGAAAAAAAAATCCATGAAAAAAAGGTGGCTGGTCAAAGAATGGTGGATTTTATCTTATTTTATTAGCATGAGAGAACAAGACACAGTATTTCATGCAATGCAGAATTTATATAATAATGTCTTTTTTCCCAGCAATCTCCAGATGTGTTGAATTAAAAAGTTCAATAATTATAGCCAGCAATTTCTAATGATCATTCTGGCTGGGGGTTGAGGAAATTTGTAATCCAATTCATTTGGAGAGCACCAGGTTAAGGAAGAATGGTAGGACAAGATAGGAGCTCCAAATGATCTGCTCACCTTTGCGTTATCTCATTAATATTTTATACAGGGAATAAAATAATAATAATACCAGAGCACAGGCAAGCAAAATTTGAATGCTAATGCATTATTAAGCAAGCATATCAAATCAGCTGTGTCAGCTCCGTCTCTAAATTAATTGCTATTTACTTAGGGCCTTCATAGTTATCGGCAGTTTTTCACTGATGTGTAAATAAGTAATGGATGATGCAGGAAGTGGGAGCAAATCATTAAGTTTTTTGCTTTGTAAATTCTCTTTATTGAGATTCCATATAACGTTTTCTCTGGCAGATACTGGTTTTCTCGTAGCAGCAACAGCTTCTTCACATATATCCTATGCACAACAGCAAAATATGTTGCATTGTATTTATGGGCCTTTATTTCAATCACTATATTATTGTAATAAATATTAGGTTTACAATGTGTTTTAAAGAAAAACAAAACAAAACAAAACAAAAAGTTTGCAATATGTAGCACAGTTAGAGGTACTAATGCACTTCTATATAGTTTATGAGGTATATGATTCTAACTGAGAGAAGATAGTTATACCTGTTATTTTCTTTCAAATCTTGATATATTTTTCCTCCTGCTAGTAATGGACATCACAGACATCATAAAAGGAAAAGCAGAAAGTGATGAAGAGAAACAATATTTCATTCCCTTTCATCCGTAAGCAAATTTTGCTGTTTAATACTTTTAGTTTGAAAAAGGAATTATTCTAGTAAATTGCAGTCATTATGACTTGTAAAAAATAAATCAAAATGGGCTGTATCTAAAGGTACTTTCACATAGGTGGCAGGAATCTTCTGTTTACTGAAAGCACAAGGAGAAATACTCTAAATCCAAAAATGTTCTTTCTGTCACATTCTTATCATAGCGCAGACGAAATTATTGTGCAGGTATCTGTAGATCAGCCTTAGAAGCTCTTGTCCTGAATCTCCCCGACAATCTATAATACATCTGCTCTTCCTTTGACATCTGTTGATTCCCCTTGCCGTTTGTTGGTTTCTGGGTTTGCCACTGTTTATCAAAGTTGGGAGCATTTGTTGCTTCACTATTAAGAATTCTTACTTTATCACACATTCGACAACTCTTTTATATTTTAAATATAAATTTAT